GCACCCCCGGGCACCCCCCGGCACCCGGGCACCCGGGCGCGCGGCAAAAAATCGGCGGCAAACCTAACCTGACCATATGAATCCGCTACGACCTCTACAGAGGCAAGCTCTGATTGGGGAATGAATGCATAAATACATGCATTCATGCATTCATGCATGCATACATATGATACCAGAGAAAAACCCCAATCAGGGCTATAGGGCTAGGGGGCTATAGGGCTATTGAGCTATAGGGCTATAGAGCTATAGGGCTACCTATACGACCACCCTTCGGGTGATAAGGAGGTTCGGGGGGGGGAGGAACCAACGCCTCACTCGATCGGTCTGACTATCGATCTCACAATCGATCTCACTATCGGTCTCGCTCGATCGATCTCACTCGGTCGATCTCACTCGATCTCACTCGATCTATTTCATTCGATCGATCTCACAATCGATATGACTATCGATCTCACAATCGATCTCACTATCGATCTCACTATCGATTTCACAATCGATCTCACATTCGGTCTCATTATCGATCTAGCTATCGATATCACAATCGATCTCACAGTCAACGTCATCATCATCATCATCATCATCATCATCATCATCATCATCATCATCAACAACGTCAACAATATCATCGTCATCAACGTCATCAGCATCATCATCATCATCATCATCCTCATCCTCATCCTCATCCTCATCATCATCATTGGGACACCATCATCATCAGCATCACCTCATCACCATCATCATCACCACCATCACCATCACCATCATCATCATCATCATCATCATCATCATCATCGGGACACCATCATCGTCACCATGATCATCATAATCAACATCATCATCATCGGGAAACCATCATCATCGGAACACCACCATCATCATGATCATCATCTCATCATCATCATCATCATGAACAACATCATCAACATCATCGTCATCGGACACCATCATCATCAGCAACATCATGAACATCATCATCATCACCATCGGGACACCATCATCATCGTCACCATCATCATCATCGCCATCATCATCATCATCATCATCATCATCATCATCATCATCATCATCATCATCATCATCGGGACACCATCATCATCAACATCAACATCATCATCATGTGGCCATCATCATCAAAATCATCATCATCATCATCATCATCATCATCATCATCATCTCATCATCAACATCATCATCATCGGGACACCATCATCGTCATCATCATCATCATCAACATCATCAGCGGGATACCATCATCATCATCATCATCATCACCATCATTATCAACAGCATCATCATCATCATCCTCAACCTCATCATCATCATCATCATCATCATCATCATCATCATCATCATCATCATCGGGACACCATCATCATCATCATCATCATCATCATCAACTTCATCATCATCACCGTCTCATCATCATCAACATCATCAGGATCATCAACACCATCATCATCATCATCATCATCATCATCATCATCATCATCATCATCATCATCATCGGGACACCATCATCACCATCATCAGCAACATCATCATCACATCATCATCATCGGGACACCATCATCACCACCATCATCATCATCATCATCATCAACATCATCGACATCATCATTATTCATCACCATCACCATCACCATCACATCATCATCACCATCACCATCACCATCACCATCACCATCACCATCACCATCACCATCACCATCACCATCACCATCACCATCACCATCACCACCATCATCATCATCATCATCATCATCATCATCATCATCATCATCATCATCATCATCATCATCATCGGGACACCGACGGGACACCGGCGGGACACTGGCGGGACACCGGCGGGACATCGGCGGGACACCGCGGGCCACCGGCCCCCGGAAAGGAATCACTTGGTCTGGCCGCGCCTCAGCCAGAGGCGGGACACCGGCGGGGCACCGCGGGCCACCGGCCCCCAGAAAGGAATCATTTGGTCCAGCCGCGCCTCAGCCGGAGGAGACTTTCTTCTCGCCCGCCGCGCGCCCACGCAACTTCGCCTCGCCCGCACGCACGGCACGCACGAACACGAAACCGAAACCGATTTCCCGGTAGGGGTGCTCTCCGTTCCACTTCGATCTCACCCCCTCACCTCCGATAGAGTTGCAGGGCTATAGGGCTGTTGGGCTATAGGGCACCCCCAGGCACCCCCGGGCATCCCCGGGCACGCCCGGGCACCCGGGCACGGCACCCGGGCACCCGGGCACCCTTGGGCACCCCACGGGCACCCGGGCAACCCTGGGCACCCGGGCGTGCCGCGAAAATCGGCGGCAAACCTAACCTAACCATATGAATCCGCTAGGACCCCATACAGAGGCAAGCTCTGATTGGGGAACATTCATACATACATGCATGCATGCACATACATACATACATACATACATACATACATACGTACGTACGTACGTACGTACATACATGCATACACACATACACACATGCACACATGCATGCAGACATCCATACATACATGTATGCATACATACATACATACATGTATATATATATATATATATATATATATCCGTATATATGCATATAGACATATACACATGTATATATATATATATATATACATGTGTAACTATGTGTATTTTCTGTGTATGTAAATACACCTATATGTAATTATACATACATAGATATATGGAACCACGCGCGCACTTTGCGCGCTCAGGTTCTAGTCATGGTTGCGCTGCATCATGCGGCAATGGTTATCGCTCGGGTCTCGTCAGAGGGATGGGTGAGCTCCTTGTTGCAACCTGCCTATGGCCTCTAAGTGATTCACCATTTGTAGCCGTGATGCTTCGCGCGCGTATCATGTCCCCATGGGTAGAAGGAGAGTCCTGTAGTTGTATGCTGCCAGTTTCCACATCTCCGTTCATGCGCATTTGAAAACGTATACTGTTGGAACCTGGCGGATCCATGGTCCATGGCATCCGGTCCTTTCCAATGGACGGCCGCCGCAGTGTGGCAAGGATGCGTTGCGGCGGCTTACAAAGGGGTTTCGAGACGGGAGGGTGAATTGCAGTCTTTGGTGTTTTCTGCGGCATGGTAAGCGATTCAATCGGTGCCCAATGGCCCTCGCCTTCGCTCTAGCCATATTCCCAGTTCGGAACCGTGTTCCCATTTCAACGCACAAAAATGCATTTGTTCATGACATACGTGATCCCCTAGGGAATCTTACAATATCAGATTGGCGCTACGCTCGCCATACTGCAGTAAAGCGAAACGAAAATGTGAGGCCGTCACTGCCTCACTGGAGCCTCCGCCACAGGCGCAGCACATGTCAGACGATGTGAAATCGCTATCTTCGCAAAAAGAACACCAATCGGAGCTCCGCGCATACCATGCGCAAGGGCTACCATGACTATCTAAAGCTCAGCCGTCGGCGTCTGCATATTCCTGATAATTGAAAGCGTTCCGGCAGGAAGAAATGCCAACGCAAGAGCAATAAACATGTCTCTTGCTTTCAACGTCATCATGTCGTCTTTACTGCCATTCAAGCGCGAAGCTCGCCCCCGACGATTTCAGGACAGAAATCTGCGGTGCTGCAAAATTCGCAGAAGGAGCGGTTGAATTCGCCGGACCATCTGGCCATCGTCGCGCCCGTCGCGCCCGTGGCTGGGGCCACGCGCGCGCGCTTCGCCCGCGTCAGGTTCTAGCCAAGCACAGATACCGGATTCGTGGTGAAACCATGGAAATACGTACCAAAGAATGCAGGAGAAACGGAAGGACGGAGAGTGAGGAAGCTCCGTCGCGCATTTCCTGGGCACCTGAGGCTCTCTCTGCCAGGATTCCGGGAGCTGGAGGCTTTGCTTTTCCGTTGATGAGCTTGCCTTTCCCTTGAGGGGAAGAGGAGGCAGAGGTGCTTGATGATTGGGGACGGGGACTTGGAATCAATGGGACGGAGGGGAAGGGGGTATGAGGGCAAGAAAACGTGAGCGGGGGCGGCGGACGGGAACTTAAGGGAAAGGAGACTGAAAATAAGAGCGGGGAGGCAAGGCGGAGGGAAGCGGTGGGGAGTGGAACGGAAGGGGGGGAGGGGCAACACCAAGCTACACCGAAGGCCGAATCGCCCTCCGAGCCCAAAAGGCCCTCAACAAGCCACCCACTTCGGGGCCGGACCATAGCTAAGGGAATGAGGAGGACACAAATTGTGAGAAATTTGGAACGGAGATAAAGGATGAGAGCGGGGAGGCGAGGCGGAAGGAAGCTCGGGGGCGTGAAACGGCAGGGGCGGGGAGGGGCCTCACCACGTTACAACGAAGGCCGAATCGCCCTCCAAGCCAAAACGGCCCTCAGGAAACCACTGACTTGAGGGCCGCATCGGGGCCACACCAGGCTACAAGAAAGGCTAGGCCGCCGTCTGGGCCACATATGCGGGGCCACATCAGGTCACAACGAAGGCCGCCCCCCCCACTGGGCCACATATGCGAGGCCACGCCCAGTTACAACGAAGGCCGGGCCGCCCTCCAAGTCAGGCATATGGAGCAACACCAACATTACAACGAAGGCCGGAAACGCCCCCCAGGTCATTTCGGCATCTTCCTTGGTACCCCGGTCTGTGTATATAGACACATACAGATGAACATACATAGGTTCTCGTACTGGTCTAGGCATGGTCGTTCAACGCAGTTGCCAAACGAACACACTACATCACAAAATGTGTGTCCTGGCACGCTTGTTCAACACAGTTGCTCAATGTACTTACAAACGCACGGGTGATTGAATGGTTGTGCTCGCCTCATGTTCGGCTGTGACGTAGTTCGTGCACGCTCAAAACGTTTTGGTTCAATTGTACCCCCCCTGCTCGATCTGTGTCAGCCTGGTCACGCACGCGCCATTTTTATATTCTGGCGGTGCAAACGCTACGCGCAAGGTTGTGTCTTCCGACCGCCAAGCTTTGCTCGAACCAAGGCGTGGCCACCTATCACGCGATCAAGGAAGCTGCAGCGCGGTGCCTCGAAGTCCACGAAAAGCTTCCGCGTGGCACCGTCCTGCCCAAATCCCCGCGCGGTTCCCGCGCGCTCCTGCCACAAGGCGAGCCTTGCACCGAATCGACACGTCGAATCGAGCTGAACCCGGCGTCCAGTCGACAGGAATCGCTCGAGACACTGGCGACATCGGAATATGCAGCGCTGGGGATCGCCCCGGGAAGTCGGCGGCGTCAGAATTGGCAGACGTCGGCAAGGCTGAGAACGGATCGGCCAAAAGTCCCGGCAAAACCGAAGCGAGACCCGACCTATGACCCTCGACCCCCGCCTGGGAGCCAAGGGAAATCTCTGGTTTCCAGGCGGGAGTCCTGGGGTCCAGGTCGGGCCTGTCGGTTTCAGTTTTTTGCATGGACGCCAATAACCCCTGCACAATGTTCCGGTAGTGTCTCATGTTCACGGGGCCCCGCCGAAGCCATGGCAAAGAAGGAGTGTTCCGTTAAACTGATTGTAGAATAACCCTGGAAAGAGGAGGCCGGCCCGCCGGCCGACGCGCGCGAGAGCGGGCACGCTCCTTTTCCGCTGTTCTAAAGCCTTCAAACATGTCAGCGCAAAGAAGAGAAGGCAAGGGCAGCGGGATGGTGGTGCGGAGAGGAATCACGCATTGACTCCCCCCGCGGCGGGGTGCGTAGAGTCGTTCCGACTCCCCGCCCACACGGCCTGTGCATATGTACAGCCACAGGAGCCAGGCGCAAAACATTTTACGGTTCAACTGTGGCCGCCGAGGGGCAAGAGACCGGAACAACTCGACGAACCCCACCAGAGCTAATATCTAAATCCAGCTCAAACCACAAAGTTATTTTACTCCTGGCGCACCCACATCACGTTGATGAAACCAAGCGACGTGGGACCAATGCCGACAAAGATGCACTGGTCCTTCTGCGCAGAATCATGCCCGCCAATCTTCTTCCCGGCGCTGAGGATGACTCCAATCATAACTGGTCCGTCAGCTCCACTGAGACTGATCTCGCAGGCGGTAGTCATAGGCGTCTCTTCCATTGCCCGTGTTCCAGCTGCTAGACTTGTCCTTGCTCTTGCCCTTGTCCGCCGGCCTCGCCTTAGGCGTAGGCGGCGGCGGCGGCGCGGGCAAGGGCGCAGGGGCACTTCGCAGCGCTTCACGAGTATGATCATCAGAAACTGGGTGTCCCGCGGGTGCATCTCCTGATGTTGCCCAAGCTCGCACGCGGAAGGCCCACCCCCCCCTGCGACTCATCTTCGCGGTCCGTCGCGAATTCAGCATTGTACTCGTTCACGCTGAACCAGAGCCATGTTCTGTGACTGCCTGTTATCCTCCGATGGCGATCCACGCGAACATAACCCCTAACTGCGGATAATAAACCCTAAGGGGTAATAAAGTTCGGGGTTTTCGGGGGGATAATAAAAGTTGCCCGCCAGAACCAGCATAGAGAGATATCAAGAGGAAAAAACATATATATATATATATATATAATATATATATATATATATATATATATATATATCTTGAGGATTGTCTCGGTTGAGACATCCTCAACGACTTGCTTGTTTCGCTTGAGACATCCTCGACATATTTGTCTGGTAGCTCACGTGCCTCGTTTTCCCAGGATAATCAACCCCAGCGATAAACAAGTTCAGGGCGCCAGGGGGAGGAGGAGGAGAAAGAGATAGAGAGAGAGAGAGAGAGACAGAGAAAGGAAGAAAGAGAGACATAAATAACTACAAAGAGACATAAGGACATCGGTTTCGCTTGAGACATCCTTGAGGGAGGAGGAGGAGAAAGAGCAAGAGGAGGAGAGGAGAAGGATATAGCAAAAATCCAAAGCTTAAAACGTATTATATTTAAGTTGTAAGCGCTTGATGAACATTTGAATGTTCATCTGCTTGTGTAGGGTAGCTCACGTGCCTGATTTTCCCAGGATGATCAACCCCAGCGATAAACAAGTTCAGGGCGCCAGAGGGAGGAGGAGGGGAAAGAGATAGAGAGACAGAGAGAGAGAGAGAGACAGAGAAAGAAAGAAAGAGAGACGGAAATAACTACAAAGAGACAGAAAGACAGTGGTTTCGCTTGAGAAATCCTGAAACAACGTGTTCGCTTCGCTTGATGTTGTTATCTCAACATAAGAAAGAAGTAACCTCGATGGCGGACTTTTCCCGTGATAATGAAGTTCGGCCTCCGCGCCCCCGCGCCCCCGACCAAACTCTTATTTGTCGACGATAAAAAAAAAAAAAAAAACTAACGACTTAAGGGGGGTGCATTATTATCCTGGGCATGGGGTTAATATCCCTGGACGCTGCCGTTGTCGCCCCTGTCGGCGTGATCCAGCGAAGGGCCCCAGCCGCCATCGCGCGCGCGGCCGCCTAGATCATCGACGGGCTCATCGGCCCGCGCAAGCGACCGATCCCGATCGTTCCACTCAGTGGGAGCTGTGCGCAACCTCCGATCACGGTCGGGGTCGCTGCCCGACGCGGCTAAGCTGGCGGGCGCTGGGTTGCACGGGGCCAGTCTAGAGGCATGCCTCTCAGTCCAGCCAGCCCTGGCCCCTTCAGTGACATCCATTGGACGCCTCGAAGGCGCTCGAGCGCCCCGTGCGCTTCTCCACCCCGAAGCGGCAGAGCCGCCCGGGACGCTGGCATCAGCGCGCGGGGTCGCAGAGCGCTGCGCAGCAATTCCCGATGCGACTGAATCGTCAGGGGCTGCTGGATGAGGGTCGGCTGAGCCGACCTCCTCGGTGAGGTTCTGCGCGTAGCTAATGAGACCAATGGCGTTGTCGGTGGCAAAATATCCATAGCGGTAACTAGTCAACCGAGCTCTCGCAAGGGGAACGATCTGATCAAATATTTCCATGAACTCTATGGCAGACTGTATTTGTGTGTAACAACGTCGGACAGCGCCACGGACTTCATTGCCTAAACCTTCGGTCCACGCATGGAGCAGGTCAGACGATTTAATCGTTGACCTGATACCGCTGTCCAGCGCATATGCGTCGGTCAGTCTAGAGTTGAGGGTGCTACCTGCAACGGTCGTGTTTCGCTGTACTTCATTACCCGGAAAAGCAGCAAACATAAAGTCCGTCTGCCATAAACAAGAGTATAACTTCGCGAATAGCCAAAAGGATTCGACCCCATCGCCTATGGGTGGGGATTCTGTTATAGGGTTCATCCCACACTTTGTCAACGAGCTCAGCCAATCCTGGCGGCATTTCGTGAATCACATCTTCTCCAGTTGCGCAATAGAGGCTGGTGTGGTCAAGTACCCAAGGACAAATTGCACTGCGACGTCGATGGCATCGCGTCGAATGGCAACTGCACGCCCCTTCCCGCCACCCCGACTCGCTTCGGGCGTGCGCCCCGAGATGGGAACTGCATCAAGCCGAATGGCCAGTGGCAATTCTGGGGCGTCCAGCCTTAGACGCTTTGGCATAGCACCGACGGACTGAATGCCTCTTAGCGTTTCTGCAAGCCGATCGCAAGCCAGAATTGCTCCCTCCTGCCGGCTGGGCCGGGTACAAAGCGATGCAATTGCGTGATAATCAATATGTCCGACGGGATTCGGGGTAGGCGCATCGACGCGTCTCAACCGCTCAGTGAGCGCCTCCACTGTTGGAGTGTCTACGCCTATGTCTCTCTTGCCTCTTGCCCACTGGTCCCATCCTTCTGGCGGGCCCAACTGTTTAGCATCGACATGGGCCCAGTCGGAAATTGCAAGAGCAGAACGCCGAAATGGACGAGCGCACTGGTCCACGTCAGAGGACCAAATTAACGGCCACCATGCGGCGGCAGTTGGACGGGCTTCGCTCTTTGATTTTGCCTTCTGTGTCAGCCAACTCATGAAACGAAGCTTCAACGGCTCGAAGAACTGAAAAAAAAGGGTTCGTGGCGCGCTGGCGGCTGAGCCGCAGCGCTATTTGGATCCCAAGTCGGAACGGTTCCTGGCTGTTGGTTGGAAAAGGTCTGTCCCCCCTTTGCGAATCTGAGACGAGCTCCCTCTCGAGGCACCCATTTGCGCTGACGCTGTTCAATTTTATTCCCCATGTCCTAAGGATTGGGGTTCTTGTTATTACTCTGACGCCGCCCACTGCTCCTCCTTCCTCCTTCCTCCTTCCTCCCGCTCGCGCCTCCCTCCTCCCAATGATAATCACCAGATAAGACAAGACAAGATAATATACTACAAGATAAGATAAGATAGCACAAGATATGATAAGAAGAGATTTCCAGATAAGATAAGATAAGTTAAGCTCACACTCACACTCTCTCATGATCACAAAACGCTGCCAGGGGCATCATTTGGGAGCCCCAAGGGGGAGCCACCCTGGCTGATCTCACGAGCCCGTTCGCGCCGATTTTGGTGGGACGTCTCAGCTAGAATTGCCGTTTGGCTCCCCAACATGTATCTCTTGAGAGCCTCATGGTCACAAAACGCTGCCAGGGGCATCATTTGGGAGCCCCAAGGGGGAGCCACCCTGGCTGATCTCACGAGCCCGTTCGCGCCGATTTTGGTGGGACGTCTCAGCTAGAATTGCCGTTTGGCGCCCCCAACATGTATCTCTTGAGAGCCTCATGGTCACAAAACGCTGCCAGGGGCATCATTTGGGAGCCCCAAGGGGGAGCCACCCTGGCTGATCTCACGAGCCCGTTCGCGCCGATTTTGGTGGGACGTCTCAGCTAGAATTGCCGTTTGGCGCCCCCAACATGTATCTCTTGAGAGCCTCATGGTCACAAAACGCTGCCAGGGGCATCATTTGGGAGCCCCAAGGGGGAGCCACCCTGGCTGATCTCACGAGCCCGTTCGCGCCGATGTTGGTGGGACGTCTCAGCTAGAATTGCCGTTTGGCGCCCCCAACATGTATCTCTTGAGAGCCTCATGGTCACAAAACGCTGCCAGGGGCATCATTTGGGAGCCCCAAGGGGGAGCCACCCTGGCTGATCTCACGAGCCCGTTCGCGCCGATTTTGGTGGGACGCCTCAGCTAGAATTGCCGTTTGGCTCCCCAACATGTATCTCTTGAGAGCCTCATGGTCACAAAACGC